TAACCGGTGTCCCTGATCCGGATGCTGTGACCAGATCGACGGGCAGTATACCACAGGCAGACGTAGCCGCCCGAGTCGAATCGAAAGGGGAGAGACCAGCTGGCAACCTGCCGCGCCCGTTCCAGGGAGGCATACTGCAGCAAGGGATAGCGGGTAGCACCCGGGTCGGAAGGCTCGGGAAGGAGACTAAAAGCATCTCCGTTGCGGAGCCGGATATGCACATTCGGGATAGTAGTGCGCAGCACAGGTGGCGCTATGACTCTCCAAAAACGGGTGTGAGGAAAGACTCGAACAGCAAGCCGGTGAATGTCATCGAGAGACGAGTCAACCGAGGCAAAGGCGACGGCCGAACAGCCCTCAATGTGCAGGGCCACAGTGGCGAGACCGTATGGGGCAACTGGGGCGACTGTGATCTGGGAAATTGGGAGCACCGCCCGGACAGGGAAGAAGCGATGTGCCCAAAGCCCGCAGTGGCGAGTGCCTTCCTGTTCGATGGACCTCCATGATCTGGTCGGGTCGACGAAGCTGGTCTCGCTCCATCCCCGCAGGGGGCACAAAACACGAGCCGTGAGTGGTCGTGGACCAGGGAAGCAGCGTGCTAGGGGCCCATCGGGGTTCTCGGGCTGCCAGCCACCTAGCGGCACATAAGGCTCGCCGTCATTGAAATCGATGGCGGGGGAAAGAAGGGATGGGAGGGTGAGCGACTTCGGCTGGGCCGTCGCCGAGTGCGGATGGTACGCGCCTCGAAGGAATCCGCGCTAGGGCAGCGGCCAGAGGCACTCGAGGACGCTCCCCACGCCGGTTCAAGAAGCCCGAAGAACATAAGGGCAAGTTGGGCAGGGAGGAGAGGACGCCTTCCCAGGAAACCGATGGCAGCAGAAAGAACCCACCAGTCTCCGTCCCTGGTCTGAGCAACCTGACAAGCCCGGCTGGCAGCAGGTGGAAGGGAGTACCCGGCAATATAGAAGTCATGCGCAGCGTCCCGAGCGGTCTCTACACATCTTGTGGCCCCGCTAGACTGAATAATATTGGCATGCCCCGGAGAGGAGGACTGCTCAACGAGCCAGGGGGGAGCACCGAGGTGTCCATGGCAGGGGGCCCAGCGGTGATGACCAAGCTCCACCTCATGATGCAGAACCGTGGCTGCCGCTTTGGCCCAGGTCAGGAGCTGGGCAGAAGAGCAACTGAGCAGCATGCAGCCATAGCTGGGTGAGCTGCAATCGAGACTCGACGATCGATGACGATTTCGCTTTCGAGCAGAAATTTTGTGAGTGCCTGCATTTTGGATCCATGCTTTTGCAACATGAAATTTGGTATGTGCAGCATGCAACTTGAAGACTCTGTGTTTTTGTATATATCTGTAGCTGGCTCAAAGCATGCATGTCCACGTCTCTAGGTTAACATGGCTTGCGAGGTGTTTTCTATATATTATATTCTATAAATACGTAAATTAACAAATCTAGATATTTTGGCCATTTTGGCGCTTTGAGGGTTTAAGGGTCTATAGGATTAGATTCCTGTTGCCTGCCGGGCCCTCAGTTCGGTTGTGAGCCTGCCTGCCATAGCTTTGAGAGTTCCAAGCAGTGTTTTTTGTTTTCGGGAGGTTCGCCGCCTCCCGGGGTAGGTTTGAAGCCCCTTATGCCCCCTGTGCCCAGGTCGAGACCATGGTGCTCGTGCCGCTCTACTGCGAGGACAAGGACTGATCTGCAGATTCTTCATGTTCGTTTTTGTTTGCAAGTGCAAGGGCAGCAGATTTGTGGAAGTTCTTGCCTCCATGCTTAGAATTTTGAGCTCGAGGGCTCTGGAGTGCTTGTAGCTGTGTTTTTGGATTTGGGCCGCCATGGCGGCGAGCAAGCTCGGTGCAGCTGTGGATTTGGAGGAGGAGGAATCCGAGGAGTCGGAGGTCCGGGTGGAAGACCCGGCAGTGCCCGTGCCGGCCGAGGCTCGGCCGGGGCCGGATTTGAGAATGTGTCGTAAGTGCAAAACGGTGGCATATCTGAGAAAAGGAGGATGCAGCAATCCCTCATGCACCTTGGTTTGTTTTCAGTAAGATTTAAACTTAAGTGTGTTAATTTTCTGATTTTATTCGGGAGTCGTTTTGGACTCCCGTATTTTTTTATCAGGGTTTATGCAGCTCCGCCCTGCAGGCCCCCTGTACTATGTCCACCAGAAGGACTGGAAGTATCATGCGAAGGGGAAGCAGCGGGAGAAGAGCTGGATGGAGGATTCTGAGGGCTTCGAGAAGATGCTCTCCAACATGAGGTGGGCCTACAATAAAGCGGCCGAGGAGAACAAGGCCAAGGAAGCCCAGGAGGCCAAGAAGGCCAAGGAGGCCAAGGAGGCCAAGGATCCCAGCAAGAAGGGCAAGAAGAAGAAGAATAAGGGGATCAACCGTCGGCTGCGAGGAGTCCAACGGGGCTTCACGAAGGGACCGGGTACCATCCGTGCAGAATCTCAGCTTCAATAATTTTTTCTGGAGTTCTATTTTGGGACTCCATGTATATATACAGCTAAGGAGAAGCCCTCGGAGCCGAAGCCGCCCAAGGTGCCATCGGAGCCGAAGCCGCCCATCCAGCCGAAGCCGCTGAAGCCGCCTATCAGCAAGGGCATCCCGAGGGCCTTTCAGGACAAGACGCCCATCAAGGCCGAGAGTGTGGGGAAGGCTTTGATCCCCAGGACGTATCCGAGAGTGATTCAGCCACCGGTGCCGGCAATCAACATCAATTTCTTTGGGAGCTCAGGTGCCTCCGGATCCTCAGGCAGGGATATATATTATGATAAGTTGTAATAAATTTTTTATTATAGATTTTTCGCTGGAGTTTTTTTGGAACTCCAGTTTTTTTGTTTTCCCCTGCAGATGTCATCGCCGGGTTGCTTGCGGCCATTGGAGCCGGGATGGCGGGGCAGCCGCCGATGCCGCCGCCGGCGGCGGGCCCAGGGCCAATTATCGAGGAGGTTAAGCCGGATGAGGAGGAGCCCGGCATGGATGTGGACGATGAGGATGAGGAGGATGGCAAGGGCGATTCGGAGGAGGGCAAGAATAAGAGAAAGAGGGATGAGGAGTGATGTGTTTCACCCCCTGTGCAGAATGCATCTTCCAGGGCGATGATGATCAGAGCGATCGTGCAGAAAAGAAGTGTTAGTGTTGGAGCCGTTTTCAGTGGCATGTGGTGCTGTTGTTTTCAGGGTTTCATCATCCATGCTTTTGGGCAGGAGTTCCTTGGAACTCCTGAACAATGGCCTTGGCCTCAGAGTGCATGGTGTGCAGTCTGTAGCATGCAGTGCAGTTTTTTTTGTTGTGTTTGCAGCTTCTTTGTATTGCAGGTTGGCTGGGCATCCCCATCATGGGTGTCGAGGCACCGGCGGATTAGGGTTTAAGGGTTAAAGGCAATATAAGGGTTTAGGGTTTAAGGGTTAAGGGCTTAAGGTTTCAAGGGTTTAGGGTTTAAGGGTTGAGGGGTTTGGGGGTTCAAGGGTTTAGGGTTTAAGGCTTTCAGGGTTTAGGGTCTAAGGATTTAAAGGTTCAGGGGTTTAGGGGTTCAGGGTTTAAGGGTTTAGGGTTAGAGGTTTTTAGGGTTTAGGGTTTAAGGGTTACAGGTTGAGGGGTTAAGGGTTTAGGGTTAGAGGTTTTTGGGGTTTAAGGTTTCAGGGTTTACAGGTTGAGGGGTTAAGGGTTTAGGGTTTGTTGTTTTTAGGGTTTAGGGTTCCAGTGTTTAAAGGTTAGGTTTAGGGTTTGAGGGCCCGGGTTCAGGGGTGTAGGGGTTGAAGCTTTTAGGGTTTAGGGTTTTTGGTTTTCGGTTTTACCAAGTTTAGGGTTTAAGGCATAAGGGTTGAGGTTTAGGGTTTGGGTTCAAGGTTGAAGCTTTAATGTTTACAATCAGTGTTATAGAATTATTATAATGTTGCAAGGGTTGAAAAAGGGTTGAAATTTCAACCGGTTGAAAAATGGCTTGTGCTTTTGATTAAGTGGTGGGGTGGCTTTTTCAACCGGTTGAAATTTCAACCGGTTGAAAACGTAGTGCTGTATATATAAAACACTATAAGCTGTGTACCAAATTATTAAACTTTTTAACTGGAGGCCACAGCCTCCAGGAAACCTACAATACAAAGATCTTGCTGCTGTGCGGCTACGGTCTGGGTTGTTTCAGGACAATCTTCCAGGGTCTATATGTTCGGTGGCACAGGTTCTAGGTGTTCCAAAGGCTCATGGATAAAGGTTGTGCAAGGTGGGGGTTGCTCCAGTTGTATAGTGGTTTAGGTGAATTGGTGGTGTACATGCTGAGGATTCAAAGGTGTGGGTTTCAGGGATCGCCCAGTATGTTCAGAAGGCTTCTGGCCCTAGCAGGTTTTGGGTTCCAGTTTAATTTTATGTGGGGGCATCATTACATCATCATATCACAGTAACATGTGAATGTTACTGTGATATAATGATGTAATGGTGTAACAAGCATGTATAGTGTGATGTACATGAACTTATCGTCATCTATAAGTATAATATCGATCGTCATTTAATATAGTATATACTCATATATAAAATATATGATATATATATATATATATATATATATATATATATACATATACATATACATATATATATATATATATGTACTAAAACCTTAAAAAGAATTAGTATCATAATCTTATATATATATATATTAATGGACATATATATATATATACACATACATCTAGACATCTATACATAAACACCCTTACCTTGTAGAACCTCTATACTTTGGATCTATGTTAACCCTGACAGAAACCCAAATCCTCTAATCCCTGAAGCTTGAAACCCTAAAGCAAAACCCTCAGGTGTCTTGCTGCATGTGCTGCAGATACCATGTGTCCGGGCCACAGGTGCAACAGTGATATGCTGCATCGTTTTGTCACAGCATGATAAACAAATGCATCAAAACACACTTTCGATTTTGTGGCTCCAGATCAAAAATAGTTTAAATAACTGGAGCCTTTGGTTGTACAGTTGCCCTTTTGGCATCATGGCCCCAAAGAATAAGGCCAAGGCTGCTCCGAAGACGGAGCCGAAAGCTAAGAGGGCCAAGTCCGGTGCCTTGGTGATTGGAGATGATCCCACACCGGTGGAGATGAAAGCAAGCATTCAGAGGATGCTGAATCTTGTGAAGTACAAAGCCGACCCCGTGAGAAACAAGAGTGGGGAGTGCCTGAGCGAAGCCCAGCAAGTGCTGGAGGCCGGGTTGCAATTCTCCATTTGCTATGCAGTACATTTTTTTGTGGGTATTGCATGTGCCAGGCCTACCGGCAGGTCGCCGACTCGGACCGAAAGGGATTCATCGCTGCCTGCCAGAAGAATGGCCTTAAGGACTTGAAGTGGGTGGGCCAGTACACCAAGAAGGTTGTGAAGGAGGAAGCCGAGGAGGATGTCTCTATCAAGGGCATGATGACAGCGACTCTTAGATTTTATTTTATATAGGTTGCTTGGTCATTTTGTTTTTAATGTTTTGTTTTGCAATGCCGCTGAGGTCGCGAATTTTTGACCTGAATGGCCTCAAGATCAGCGACTTCCCAGAGAAGAGGCAGAAGGAGTTGCTGGAGGGTTTGCTCCAGGAATCCGAGGATTTCTGGGGGCACGAGAGGAACCTGGTGAAGCACAAGATGCCCGAGCTCTGCCGGTACTTTTACCGGACCTTGGTGGAAAGCAAAGATGCAACCCGATCCGAGTCAGGCACCTTCGAAATGAGTGCTAGCCTAGCAGCGAAGGAGATGAAAAGCCTGCAGAACACCAAGGGTGAGGTGAAGTTGGAGCACCCCGAGCGGACCGAGCTGAGCAACTTGAGCAAAGTGGCCAACAGTGCAGTCAAGAGCCTGGATGCCAAGCATGGAGAGTTGAGCTCGGAATGCATTGCTCTCGAGAATTGCCCCAAGCTCGCTAGCAAAGCGCCGGAGGTCCGGGTTACCCTGGATGCTCTGAAGAAGTTTGTGGAGGATCTTCGAAAGATCCAGGTCCTGCTGGATCGCAAGCTTCCCACGATGGACGAGGCAGCCTGCAAGAACGAGAAAGCCGACATGGACCAGTGGAATCGCAATGCCAATGAGCATCTTGACAATGTGAAGTTGTTGCTGAAGAAGGTTAAGGGCTGGCAGGCCTAGGATCCATCGAACATGGATCTGGATATCATGCAAGCAGCATTTTGCTGCAGTTTTGCGAAAGCAGCTTTGAGGCGATCCACGGCAGGCGAACTTAAAAAAACAGTGCTTTGCAGCCGCGAATAGCATGCACTACATATTGTCTTTCAAGCTTTTGCTGAATGTTTTCTGCTTGCAGCCAAGGTCGATCTTCTCGAGCTGCAGACAGGGCCCTTTGCATGCAAAAGGGCGAGTGCAGCAGCAGCTCGCAGACTTCAGCCGACAACTGTGCTAGCTTGCTGTGCAGGGTATAGGTGCTCAAGTTTCTGAAGTTTGTTTCACTTCTGGAGCTGCATGTGAAGCCATGTACTCCAAGAACAGTCGTGGTTACAATGAGGAAGACGTGCCTGAGAAGAAAAGGTTTCGGGCCAATCTTTCGGATGCTTTTTTGTCTAGGCAGATCACAGCTGCCAGGACAGCTTCCCTTTTCAAGGATGCTCAATCTTCTGGTGCCAGTGGTGTGGACGACTTGGCCGCTGTACAAGACAAGAATGCAGCCAGAAGCCTACGAAGGAAAATGTTGAAGGGGTCCCACTGGCCAGACTGCTACTATGCCGACATAGAGCTGCATGACCCCAAGCTGCAGGAGAACCGCCAGGTCTCCTTGCCATTTTTGCTTCCCCATGAAATTCTGGGGAAGCTTTTTGAGTTTGGTGACTCAGCCTGGATCCTGAGCCAGGATGTGCTGCAAGAGGATGCTGAGCTGATTGAGAAGTTTTCTTTGTCGTGCCAGCCAGCGAGAGATCCAGCGACAATTCTGCCACTGGGGCTCTGGAATGACGGGGTGCCTTGCAATTGGGACAGGTCCCAAAGCTTGGAAGTTATAGCTCTAAGTTTCCCATCCATTCCTGGCCTTCGAGTGCCGCTGTTCTGTCTGAAGAAGATGTTTGAAGCCAAGAAGTGTACCATGGATGCAGCCATGAAGGTTTTGGTGTGGAGTTTCGAGCAGCTGGCTCTTGGAAGGTATCCTTCTCGAAGGCATGATGGCAGCCCCTTCGATTTACGGGTCGACAAGGCACGTCTTCGTCTAGCTGGGTCAGATTTGCCAGTTGCTTGTTTGACACAAATCAGGGGCGACTGGAAAATGTTCAAGGATACCCTTTCCCTGCCAGCACACAACGAAAACAATGGTTGCTGCTGGCTTTGTCCCATGACACCTGATAAAGTGCACGAGGTGGATTTGCAGGCCTCCTGGAGACATCAATATTTTGATCAGGAGGCCTTTATCATGAGGTGCTGGGAGGAGCACAGGTTCATGAGTGCTGTGTGGCAGTTTCCAAATTTTTGTCTCAAGGTCATCAGGTTGGATTGGCTGCATATTATGGATTTGGGTTGTGCTGCAGATGCTGCTGGGAATGTTCTGTACCACCTGCAAAGCAAGATGCCTGGTTCCAATATTACCAAGCGAACTGCAGAGCTCTACAAAGAGATTTCGCAGGAGTACAAGAACCAGGGTGTCGCATCCGATCGACTGGCCACATTGACAGAGACCATGTATCGCAAGGAAGCTGGAAAAGCTCCAAAGCTCAAAGCCAAAGGTGCAGAAACCAGAAAGTTGATACCTATTTTGGATGCTGTGTGCCGAAAGTTTTTGGACAGCTCAGGGGATCTGGATTCGGCAGTTTTGGCTTGCATCTCTTTGCTTTTGGCATGCTATGCTGCTCTGGATGTCGTGCCCTACGACCCCAGCCTCATGGAGCGAGAGGTCAGAAGGTTTGCTTTGCAGTATGTGTCTTTGAGGGATCACTTTGGTGACAATATCGCCTGGCGAGTTAAACCGAAGCTTCACCTCCTCCTGCACCTTTCGCAGAGCCCTACATGTCCAAAGGACATCTGGTGCTATAGAGATGAAGATTTCGGAGGAGCTACTGCAGCCATGGTAAGGGCCAAAGGCGGCCACAACACTCCGGGAAACTCTTCCCAGCTTGTCCTGGACAAGTTCAAAGCCAGAAACACCCTGCCTGTGCTAGCTGCTTGAAAATGATCGAGCGAGTGATCGACTGCATGCTTTGATTGATTTTAGGATTTAGGATAGGGTTAACGGCAATTTTGTGGAGCCTGCCTCCAGCAGAATCTGTCAAACTTGTTGTTTTATTGAAAGCTGTCAGCCTTAATTAAGAAACGTACTTTTCATGGTTATTTAAAGCTGAAAGCTTTAAATTTTCATTAAAACACCTTATATAATGTTTAAATAAAGGTTATAAGCTTTAAAAAGAGTTTAAAGGTTTATATAAGCATGAGATTTACGCCTGATAGGGAAACTTAAGCATGTCACCTTATTTAAAGCTTATTGGAGCTTCAGGGTGGTCTATGCATGCCCTGTGCAAGAGCGACGCCAGCAAGGAGCCCTAGATAGAGGCGCATTGGTGGGGTAACCCGACAAAAGATCAGTAAGAAGCAGCCCCAAGACAGAAAGGGGCGACCCTGGGAGGAGGAGGGGATGTCGGGGCTGCCGGCAGCAGGTTCGGCTTCGCTAGTCGGTGCAGCAAAGGCGGCGGCTTGGACGGGCGGGGGAGGAGACCGTAACTGAGAACGAGGTCTCACAGCCAGACAGTCGCCATTAAGAAATTGGACGACCGAGGACCCTTCACAGACCGGGAGACAGCAGGGCACAAGGCGGCCTTCCAGCACAATACCGACAGCGGCGTTCCCAGGCGCCTGTGGACAGCCGATGAGGTGTACAGCTGTAGCATCAGGCTGCGGTTGCAGGAGCACAATATCGGCCCAGCCCCGGCTGCGGGCGTGTCCTCTGAATAGTACAAAAGGATTGATCTCAGGGCCAGCAGAATACTCGACAAGCTCGCACTGCTGTCGGGCGGTGAAAGGATTGTGAATGCAGAAAGGGGTGCCAAGTGGAATAGCGGCAGCAAAGGGTCGCAGGCCACGTTGAAGACCAAGCAGGTCAGCCTGAACGCGGCGGACAGTGTCCTCGTCCGCGGCAGGCTCCCTTTCAATTGAAGACGGCCAGAGGCCTAGGGCGTAGTCCTCCAGCGGCCGAGCGGCGCGGAGGTACCACATACGAGGCTGGAAAGGTGCATTGACAGGCTCCGGTGGTGGCGGGCCAGCGGGTCGAGAGACCGGGTTGGGCTCCGCAGCAGACATGTTGAAGGCTTGGACAGGTGGTGGACTTTCATCCTCGGACTGTTCGTCATCCGAACTAGCAGGCGGCGCACTGATGATGGAGCCTGCACCTAAGGTTGCCAGGACAAGGAGGTGCCCGAATGCTACAGCTCCGGAGTCCCCGAGCCCATACTAAGGCCAGAACAACCACCGAAAGCCTATCCTGTCGCCGACCGCGCGAAACACTCGCAATATCGAGCAGATCTACAGTTGAGGGGTTCACCGCAGCGCAGGTACTTTGCGAGGCTAGTCGCAAAACAGGTTGCGATTCCCCGGCTGGTTCGGCATCGGGTTCAGCAAGTCCGGCCCAGAGTCGTGAAGTATGGAAAGAAAGCTCCTGAGACAGCATGTGAACTCTGGAAACCGTAGCATGATCAAGGCCAGTGCCATTGCCCGAGAGGTCCGTTTGGACTTCCTGATCAACAAGGGGGGCATGCGATGCGCCGGCAGCGCGTCGGTTCCCATGCCCATCGAGGAGTATGGCCGATTCCAGCGCCGGGCCCCTACTAGGGACGTGCCGGAAATAAGGACCCTCGACCACCAGCGCATCCGGGTTCCAAGGGTCGTCATCACCCGGAATCCTCGCAAGAGCACCACCTGGACAGCCCCCCATCGGTTAATAACCGACGTGACCTAAACACAAACCGATGTAGGCCATCCCGGGCTCCCAGCGGTTAATCGAACATCCCAGCGGTTATTTGATATCCCAGCGGTTAATTCAACATCCCAGCGGTTATTTCAACATCCCAGCGGTTGTTTGATGATCCCAGCGGTTAATTGTCCCAGCGGTTAATCCCAGCGGTTAATTCCAGCGGTTAATCGTCCCAGCGGTTAATCCCAGCGGTTAATTGTCCCAGCGGTTAATCCCAGCGGTTAATTGTCCCAGCGGTTAATCCCAGCGGTTAATTCCAGCGGTTAATCGTCCCAGCGGTTAGTCCCAGCGGTTAATCCCAGCGGTTAATTGTCCCAGCGGTTAATCCCAGCGGTTAATTCCAGCAGTCCCAGCGGTTAGTCCCAGCGGTTAATCCCCGCGGTTAATTGTCCCAGCGGTTAATCCCAGCGGTTAATTGTCCCAGCGGTTAATCCCAGCGGTTAATTCACATCCTAGCGGTTATATATCCAAAGGTTCGGGATCCCAGCGGTTAGTGAAGGTGCCAACGGCCGTACGAACATGGTGTTAATGAATTTGTGTGGCGTGGCGAGGTGCCAACGGCTGTACGAACATGGTGTTAATGAATTTGTGTGGCGTGGCGAGGTGCCAACGGCCGTACGAACATGGTGTTAATGAATTTGTGTGGCGTGGCGAGGTGCCAACGGCCGTACGAACATGGTGTTAATGAATTTGTGTGGCGTGGCGAGGTGCCAAAGGCCGTTCTCTGCCTCCGGACGGGTGGCGCAAAGCAGCCAAACCTTCACTTACTACTACTACTACTACTACTACTACTACTACTACTACTACTACTACTACTATTACTACTACTACTACTACTACTACTACTACTACTACTACTACTACTACTACTACTACTACTACTACAGCTTCTGCAAACACTGCTTGGGCTTTCGGTGCTTCAGCTTCTGCAAACGCTGCTTGGGCTTTCGGGGCTTCTGCTTCTGCAAACACTGCTTGGGCTTTCGGGGCTTCTGCTTCTGCAAACACTGCTTGGGCTTTCGGTGCTTCAGCTTCTGCAAACACTGCTTGGCTTTCGGGGCTTCAGCTTCTGCATACACAGCACATAAATAGTTTATCAGTTTTGCAAGTAGATCTTTGCAGTCCTGGCATCCAGGACGGTAAATATAGCGGTTATGCTGTCCTGGCATCCAGGACGGTACGTATAGTGGTT